GGGGGGGGGAGGGGGGAATCCGATTGCAAAAGAGTAGGGATGCTTGTCCTACATTTTAGGGTTTCAGATCTGGAATTTGGTACCTCGTAGGTTGTCAAAAATCTAAGAGGAACACCAGTATTTACCAGGTTATAAGGTACTGAGATTATAAATTATGATCTTATCTTATCTATCTTATCTTATCTTATCATCTTATTTTTGGTTTGTAAATTGGATGAATTACAGTGGTTCAAACTTTGCAATCTATACTCTTTACTCTTCTTAAATAGACATTTAAAAACTATGACAACAATGTACCCCAAGAATACTGGTATACCGTATGTGAACGATGAGAGACCTAGACCTCCTTTATGAGATAGCGAACATAGTGCATTGTGGTCTAGCTTAGGTACAAACATCATGCCTTATATGGTGTTGTTTGTACCAAATCTAGACCCCAATGCATCTTGTTTATCGAACTCAGAAAAGGCCCACGGGGACTTGTAAAAATGGGAAAATTAGGCTGAAAAACTGGCAACAAACATGGTGTGATAGGGATCCTCACCACATACACATAAGGAAACGTAATCAGAGATTATAGTAGTTTATTTTACCTTGCCACAGCCAGGGGGTCCCCACAGGATCATAGACGGCACCTCATTGGCTTCCAGAAGAGAGCGCAAAAGGCTGCCATTCCCCAAAATCTTTGACTGTCCCACATAATCATGAAGAGAACACGGCCGCATTTTTTCTGCAAGTGGCACAAAGTCATCCATGGCAGATTCCCTTCTCAGCTTACTGGGGGGCTCCGTCAGTGATTTGGGAATGTCAATCACTCTCATTTTCTTGTGAATGGGTAAATTACCTGATAATATGTTTTTGTTTTCCTTAGTTTTTTGAAAAAATGTTGAACTGGAATTTTTTGATTCCAGCTTCGTTCTCTTCCCAGGAGGCGAGGTGTCTGATTTTCCCGCCATATTCGACAAATCTCTTTTCTGAAGTTTTGGAGAACACTTTTCGATAGTTTTCGCCTGTGAATTTGTTTCCAAATCTTTTGATTTCTTTCCTGGGCTGAAAAAGGAAGACTTGCGTACGTCTGCCTTCTTTTGGGTCTCAATTTGAGTTGATATAGTGGCATTTTCACGAGGATCCTTCCCAGACGTTTCTGAGGTCGTCAGACAATCTTCGACATGTTGGTTGATGGACGACATTGGATAAGATTTTGCACAAATGGGACACTCTGCAACGCTCGATTGCGACATGATTTCTCAAGAGCATTGAATAGGAACATATAGATAGCTCTGTACTAAAATCACCTCAAAATTTCTCTATTTTCAGCACAAATATTTAGCCCCAAAATAACTAACCCCATTAACCAAAACATTACCATAGATTAGATCAGCTGAGCCCGCGAATATCTGGTAATGACGTCATTTCCGGTTCTTCTCTGCGTTTTCAAAATGGCGACCACACAGTTCAGAACATATGTTTGGGATCCTGTCTTAATAATTTCTCAAATTATCGCTCTACAGTGTACATATTATCTCTCTTTAGGGTTCTTGGTATACTTAGTTGATTATTGGTCAAGTTCAATGCGATCTCTTGATCAGTTCTTCAATTATAAGGTATTTTTTGGGACGTTTTTGTTTTGTAGATAGTATTGACGAAGGGTGAAAATTTTGTTGCGTATGTTGTTAAAACATTCACTAATTTTGGTTTCTTTTCTAGGAAATAACTACTTCTACGTTAAAAGGAAAGCTTCTTATAACTTCATTTTGCCTTAATTCGTTGGCTGGGTAAGAAATGTTTGAAATATTTACAATTATTCATTACAAATACGACACAGTAATTTCGAACAAAAATAAAATTATTGGTCTTCACAAACAGTAAGCTTATTCCATTCAGTTCAATAAATTAGTTTTATTCTGAATCGTTTTGTATGCTATTAATCGATTATATATATATATATACTGGATCATATGTGAGTCGAGTTTGTTTGATGTGTTGTTCTCTCCTTTGCCACTATATGGTTTTTCTCTCGTTTCTCTAGTTTTTCTCTTAGAGTGTTTTAGAAAATATCCATGCCCAAACCACATAGGAAATTGGAAATTCTGGAGGGGAGGGGGGTCAGAGAAAGAACAAAATTACAGAGTTTCTATGGAAGAAAACTGGAAATTCTTGGGGGTGGGGAGGCCCTTTCACAAATTCCTTCCGTGGTGGGGGTGTGGATATTTTCTGGAACTAAACAGTGTAGTGGTAGTGCACATGGAGTGAACCTCACCGAAGAGTTTTGTATAGGGAGTGATGGTTGTAAATAGAGGTTATCACATGTTAAGAGCTTAATATCATTTTTGTTTACGAGTTTTCATATGGGTAGCATGGGTGGCGTTCTCGTCTTTCACCGCTGTGAGACCAACAGGATGGGTTGCTGGTTCAAACTCTGTGGTCGCCGCATGTGAATTGAGTTTGTTTGATGTTTTGTTCTCTCCTTTGCCAGTAGGGTTTTCTTCTGTTTCTTTGGTTAATTCCTCCCTCCATAAAAATCAACATGTGAGTTGTGGGGTGTGTGCATAGAATATGCAGCAAATTAGTGCGAAAGCACTAGAACGACTAGACACTTAAAAAGAGATATTCATTTTTATATTATTTTATATCGCGAACAAGCGAGTCTGCAAGTGAGTGAGTAATACCATATGGAAAATGGGTGAATAAAAACGATATCAGGCTCTTAACATGAAATAATTTGTTTATTACACATTTAGGATCGATAAAATGACAATATTTCCAGTTTACCGTGAAGTGATATTGTGTCACTTCACTGATATGGTTTTTATTCACTGCTTTATCACATGGATATCGACTCTAAATGTGTAATAAATATTAATATGTCTGATGGAAGAATATCCTTTCACTTTTCATCATCTCTGGTATTATATTATTTTTATTTCAGGGCTATGGCTTTATGGTTCATTGTTAAAAGAGGCAAACAAGTAAGTATTACTTAAAAAGTCTTCTCTGATAACRAAAATAAATTCACAACCTAATGTTAATAATGGTGATGTTGATGATGATAATGGGAGGTTCTTATATAAAGTAATGCGCTTCTAATGTACGACCAGTGAAGGACTTTACAGACTGCATGATAATGATAATGATTTATGAATTTATATAGCGTCTTTTCTATATGAATATGATCAAAGGCGCTTTACATTGAGAAGTGAATGACAGATTGCTTTTATGCAATTTACGAGCATGAGAGATGGTTAGCATAAAGAGTAGGCATTGAGGGTGGTCACTGCCAGGGTTTCTTTACGTCCTCAGTGGTTCTTTTATGTCCCTCCGATATTGGTTAGTAATGATGAGTGTGGAGAGACGGGACCGCCATTTAAAGTGGTCATCCGAGCCACTTGAAAGTCTAACCATTTGCAGACGTAATTACATAGGCAGCACTTTCTCCTCAGTTATTTTAAGATTGATCGTGTCGGGCTATTAAGCTTGTTGGGCTGTTGAGCCTGTTAGGCTCTTGAGTATACTGATCCTGATCCTGTCGAGTCTGTTGGATCCAACACCAACGGATCACTAAACCAAGCCTCATATGTTCAAAACAAAGTCTGTTCTTAGTGATACTTTATTCCTAATTGGTAAATTTACTAATTTTCTAAAGTTTAATTTTGATATCATAAGGTGTAAACAACTCAACCTTGTGATCTATGTTTTGTGTGCCTTCATTTTACCATGACTACCAAAATGCTTCATATTTCCTCATGAGAATAGGAAAACAATTGGTGCTAATTAACTGAAGAAAAGAAAGTGTGCGAGGGATTCTGTTAGTTGATAGCAAGAGAAAATGAACTAAGAGAAGGAATCTCTGGTATTCATGCTTGTAACCATCATAGGCACAGTTTGATAGGGTTTGATGCTATTTTTAGAATCACATTTGCCACTACTGCACATGCTCTTTTCTGTTTACTTATGTTCTTTTGAAAAACAAAAGAAAACATGAGCAAACAGTGTAGAGCATGCGCAGTATGGCCATGCAGAAAAACAAGTGATCAAATAAATCAACTCCTAAATTCCAATTGGAATTACAGTGGATGAATAGATACTCTGTAGACATGCCACTGTTAAATCCCATTTATTTTATTTATTTATTTAAATAAATGCTGCTAAAAATATAATCAAAGATTCTAAAAATTGCATCAAAGTGTGCTCATGATGGGGCACGGGGATTCCTTCTCTTAGTTCGTATTCTCTTGTTGATAGTTAATGTATCATTTTGGAAATGTGCTATCGTCATGAAAACCCTCTTACCACTCTTTTCATTGCTACGCGCTGATCGAGACAACAGTAGCGACAAGGAAATAATCAATGCACTTCTGCCAATCAGATACATTGGTCGGTACCTTTATATTCTCTGATTGGCTGCAGTGTATTGCACTATTTCCCTGTTGCGACTGTTGTCTCAATCAGTGCATAGCAGTGAAAAGAATGGTAAATAAAAGCTTTGACTCCAAAGAATATCATTTGGGACATTTGAAGCTCTAGAATGATGCTTAAGAGAGTTTTGATTGATAAAAATTTGATCTTGACATTCATTCCTAATTTCTGTTTTTTTTATTTATTTTCCTTCCAGTGTTTAGACTTCACTACCACAATATTTGTCATCCATCTACTATTGTGCTGTGTATACTATGGATTCCCTTTGTCTTGGACTTGGTGGATTGTGAACATTGTTTGGGTGGCTTTAATGGCCATTATTGGGGAGTTCGTCTGTATGAGAACTGAACTAAGAGCCATCATGGTGTCTGTTGGATCTGCAAGAAATTCTGTCTGAGATAAATTTATTAAATGCATTTCAAACAATTAATGATAGGCTGCTTAAAGTGGGTTTTTTATGGCTTTTATTACAAGACTGTGAATCTGCTATTTCAACTCCACAATTCTTCGTAATGGATTGCCCAAGAGGTGATATGTATATGAATCATGTCAGGATTACAACGGTTGAGTAGCTATCTGCTTTCATAGTGTAAGGAGGGCTTAAAATAATGGTTGATCAGTTGCCAGTCATTTTTCTTACTCAGATTGGGTCAGAATTTGTGGATCTCAGCAACACATACATCCCTATCAAAACCAGACCAAGTGTCAACGGCATGAGAAATGCCTTGATTGATGTTTGCAAAACCCACTTTGTTGCGACTGGGAATAATTTTGTGTATGATATTAAAACATTATTATCCATGATAAATGAGAAATATGTATAGTGTATAAAGTATAATTATTGTATTAATAAAAAATAGGATAGGAATTGTACACAAAGTTAAATTATGAAGCTCTAAGAAATAGACCTTTTACTGATACGGCAGCTATCTTAAATTATGGGGTTCCCAGTGAGAGCAATCTTAGAAATATTTATAAAGCATAAAGTGACAAAGTTACTTTTCAAATTATTTTACTCCAACGAAGGACTAGCATCTGAAACGTCAGTAAGTTTTTCACCTTTTCATGGTGTCAAATTTACCCTTTTATCATTACTAAATGATATTATTTTATGCTTTGTTGTTTTACATATGCCTCCATGTGTTTTACATATAGCTACATTGGATAACATGAAGTTATATAAAACGACACCCTGACAGTTATGCTGTCTATAAATGTTCCAGTATTTTTCCCTTGGCATCCAATAATCTCTTACTTAAAACAACAGAATTCAAGATGACTGCCGTATCAGTAATCATCATGATGTGAAAACATACCATGAATAAATCTGTTATTTTTATCAAACTGGGTTTACAGGCTGGTGGGATTTTGTAAATAGTCACTTCTGACATTCAGTGAATACCGCTGTGTTGTATGACAATAGACCGTTTTCTCAAGGTTTTGTGCGTATCCAACTTGACAGGCCACAAAACTGAAAAACGCAAATTCAGTAAAACTAAGAAGCCAGTTTTATATTAACGAGGAGAATAATCGATTTTATGAATTCTTATTGGAAAAAAAATTATAGTTATGCATGATAATACTCATGTTCTGGTATCGTGGCCTGTCAAGTTCCTTAAATTTGGATGTGCACGCAACCTTGAGAAAACGGTCTATAGAGTCATTTATTAAAGTGCTACTCTGATGAAAATTGCTCAAACTTGGATTCAGCTGAAACTTCCTAAGAATTCTCTTTAAAGGTCCAATAATCACTGTATGAAGTGTTTTCTCGATATTCAGGACGAAAGTATGATATTTTTACGATTATTTTTTGGAGTCTGTGACATCATAGACTCAACATCAAACTTCACTCCATACCTTGAGTGAACTGGACTTGATATGTAATATTTGCAAAACAGGTAATATATACAGTATGTGTTGTGTATGTGTTGCATATGGTATATGTACTCAAGGCGTAGCGGAGAGTTTATGTATATACAACACGGACATGAATATTGTACATTGCTTAACAAACATCTAGTTAATATTAACTATGGTTTACTGCAACCTTAAAACAAGGCAAACCACAGGCAACCCAAACTTGATCTTTTTCGTCTTTTATAATAAAATGATGGAAAAATTCCAATTCTTTTTGGCTCAAGATGTAAAACTATGGAACGACTTTCTAATGCATATAGCTTTCTTTAAAAAAGATCTTTTTCCTTTCTACGAAGCGTTTCTTGGCGATCATTGGATTTTGGGATCCCTGTGGTACAGTAATGGCCAAAAATCTGACTTTAATTTTTCCTTTAATGAGTTTAAGATGGCATGTGAATGAGCAGAAACATTGCTTATTCCTTTTTTATTATTTATTGAAGAATTATTTTGGGGGAAAAATACATTTAGGTGATTCATAGATGCCATGGGCTTCCTGTGGTAGTGGAGCACGTGTACCCATCATGCTTCAGGGTCTCTTTGACAAGAAGAAACAAGATGGCGAGACGAGTGAAACTTCGAGGCGTTGACAGAAACTTCTACTATTATACGGTAAGAAAGGCTTCAAAACTAGACTAGACTAGACAAACTTTAAGATTAGGTTACGTTCTTGCCCTGTATAAATTCATTTGCGACTTTCCAGAATTTTTCGCTGTTTAAATAAGCATTTAAATCTGAACTCTTGTTTGGTTGCTGCACGTGATAGACTTTCATGGCTAAAGGTTTTGAAACTCTCTTGTTCTGTCCTCAAAAAACACTCTATAACTACTCTATAACCACAAAAAGAATTCAAAGTTAGGTTAGACATAAGTTCTTTTTTTCTTTTTTTTTTCCTGCAAAAATTTGAATATTTGATTTCCTTACAAATTATGTTGGTAAATTTTCCCTATTTTCTCAAAAAATAATAGTTTAAGCATTCAGTCCAATTTTACGGATGATTTGCTTTTATTTCAATACAAAACTTCAGTCATGAAGATTTTTGTGCAGAAGAGTGTGGTTGACAAATTCTCCTTAGTAGGGGTACCCTTAGGACTGTTCATTTTTTTTATCAGGGAGGGTGGGGCAGGCAGTGAAATTTGCTTGGTAACCCACACAAGAAATCTGAGCCAGTGATCCATTGTTGCTTTCAAAAAAGTGACCTCTCCATAATTTTAATGCAATAATGGCCGTCATTTCATTATCATAATGTAAATAATTATTTAAGGTGGCTGACTACTTTTGAACGTTTGATTTGAGCCCATGTGCCCAATGTACCCCCCAATGCACCCACTCAAAAACTGATGAATAATCTTCACAATTTTATTGAAGAACCATACGCGTTTTGAACTTCAAAAGGGCAAAAGCCTCAAATTTTGCTTGGGACTTTTTTTTTTGGTATTTTCCGGAATAACTGGTAATATCCCATGATTTTTCAAAGTTTAAGACAATTCTGTTYATTAGAACAATGTAAAAAATCTTTTTGTTTGTTTTGTGCTCAATTTTTACGATAACTTGCACACCTTAGAACCTGAAAAAAAGTTTTTCCATTGTCTACAATAGTTTATTAAAACAACTTTTATCAGTATTTTATAAATATAGTGCAAGTTACATGTTCGGAGAAAATTACTCATGTTTCTTCCTTAGTTTTGGTCTTAGGATTTTTTTTGCTTGATTTTCGCTATTTTTCTTCCAAAATTGTACAAACGCAGAGTGATTATCTCAAAAACAAGCTCGGGACACCCCACTTTTCTTTGCATTTTCCAAATCAGCATCAAATTTCAGGTTACAGAAGTTTCAGTTTTCAATTTTCTGTTTACTATTTACCAAAGTAGTCAGCCACCTTAAACATTTTACTCCCAGATCAAAAAATAATGATCCCTTGGGCTTTGCTCACCTTGGAGGACCATCATGCTGACACTTTTATTGTTTTTTTAGTTGGCTCATCAAGGATACGAAGGCTAGCTGAATCTATAAGTGGTAGTTTTAGATGTTATTTAGTAAGATTACACAAGTGAAAACGATTTCCTTTGAATTGATTGTGCCATTTGGTTGGTATGTTTTGATATTTTCCTGATATTCACCTGTGTAATTCTACTAAATACTTATTCATCATAGATTGAGTGGATTATGGTTGGTATTTACCAAACTTTTTCTGGTAAATCTTTGCCGATCTTCACTTTTGTCTTTGGTGAATAATCTTTAATATTATATCTATCTACATATAATGCTGTGTTGTATGTAGATTTGTTTTCACCACTTTAAGAATTGGTAAATTTTCTTTCAATTTACTAAATGCTGGTAACTTATGCACATATAATGTCTCCTTTGGACCTGATGACTGGCTGGCTTGGATCAACTCTACTTATTATGATATATATTTGATTGATCATTGATTTCCATTGCCTTTTTTTTCATTTGACTGATATTTATTGATCTTGATTATTTGTCTCCCATTGATTGATTCATTTTCCACTTGATTGATTATTGATGCATATGAAAAAGTTTCTTTCAAAATTTTGTGTATCCTATTCAAAGGACTTTCAAATTTTTTCAGTAGCAAGTGTTTATACGTTGTCAAGTATTTTGCATTTGAGGTCAGATAATTTTCATTACTTTAAATCCTTCATTTTATTTTTTTCCATCTTTCATTTTGGTTTTCCATTCAGATTTATCAAATTCACAGAATCACAACATTTGGAAAAAAGCTTTTTCCTAGACCATTTCTTTGTTTGATATTGAAACACTTGAACATGTTTACAGTCTGTGCAGTATGCTCTTGCTGTACTAAAAATTTTTCTAAAAAACGGGAAAAATTAAGACTCTTTTTGGCTTTCTATTTGACTCATTGATTTTCTTAGTAGTTTTGCAACCATAGTTAGTGAGAGGATACTGTATACATCATGATGATTGTTATTCTCATTGATGCATTTTATGATACAGTAGAACCCCACTATCTTGTACTTGTCGTGATCATCAAAATCATGACCAATCGGCTGCATTTGATATTTTTCATGTTACTATTGTTACTATACTATTATTTCAATTTCTCCATTGAACATTTTTGATGAGATAGTGTGGTTCTACTTTCTTTGATTACCATATATAATGATGCTTTAATAAAGATTTGCCTGCTGTATTCTGCACTCCTTGTTCACGCCCTTCAACACGGTAGGTCAAGTGCATAATTTACCAGCATTAAGTTTTGTATTTTCCTCCAATGTCCTCTTTTGTCATGCAATTGCTTTTCTCTTACATTACTATACAAAATATGGTAGACTGTATTTTGGTTATCCATTTTTTTAAATTAACCAGAGGATGTTGTTTGGAAGGTGCAATGTCTAAATTACTTTTGTATCACTGTACATACTCAACTGCAAGTGCTTGTAGTGTTTGTACTCATCAGTGGAATTGTTTCTCTAGAAATGGTTCCATTTATTCTTAAAGTGGTGAAATATTAAGTTAGGACTATGAGTGAACACACCAATCATCAGATAGAAGTACTGTGCATAAAATGCCACTTGCATATTGAATGATGTTTTATGGCTACGCCATATCAATCCTGTTTAGAGTTCTTTTCTGTGATAATTTATTATCTAAATTTATTTTTGGCAACCTTTTACACTGTTTGGCTAAAAGCTAAAATCATAAAAACTTGAATGCTTTTTCTTAGAACTAGCCAATAATAATAATTATTGTTACGAAAAATTAATTTATCTCGCAGCTCCAAATTTTTTTCATTTATCAGCTCCAATTTTATCGTTTTTACCCATTTACGTAATGGCCAATGTGGAAAGCCTCAAAATTATTAGCATTTCGATTTTACTCGATAAATTTTACCTGGTTGAAAAAAACCTGATTGCAACAAAAAATACAAACAAGAAATCCAATTATTTGACATCGGTATTCAACAGGGCTTGGTGTGTTCATCTCATAGTCTAACGTAGGTGTTGCTTGAAGTAAAAGTACAACAAGAGATGACAAATGGTATACTAAAAACTTAGTTGGTTTCTGTACTTTCTTTGAAATGATTTATTTGTTAAGATGATTTCAAATTGAAAATGTTATTATAAAAATTAACTCGTATCATTACCACGGCACGGGAATGGATTGGTTATCTAAAGTGATTTGAAAAATTGACTTATCTGATGTTGGAATGAATTCACATTAATGCAAATACCTGGTCGAAAACAATTCATTTAGAAAATTCAATTTGCAAGTACCTTTTTGTAAACAAGGTTAAATTGGAAAATACCTTTTCAAGCCACCTTGAAGTTTATCATATTTATAAACGATTGGTCAGCAAAAAATACCATTTGTCACTCTTGCTGTAATGCAGAATAGGTAGGATTCAGTAAACCATGGTACAGATTTGGAGTGACAGGATAAATTGA